GTTGCTGATAACGTTGACAGAATTTATAATAACAACAATAACAACAACAACAACAACAACAACAAGAATGATAATGATAATGATAATGATAATAACAACAACGACAACAATAATAATAGCAATAATAATTATCGTAACAACAACAACAATAATAATAATAGTAGTAGTGGTGGTAGCGGTAGTAGCGGTAGTAGTGGTGGTGGTGGTGGTGGTGGTGGTGGTGTTGGTGGTAGTAGTAGTAGTAGTAGTAGTAGTAGTAGTAGTAGTAGTAGTAATAATGATAATGATAATAATAATGATCGTAATATACAAGGAATAAATGATAGAAACGACGATAGCGTTGATGATAACGGTAAAAATATAATTGTTAGTAGCATCGATAGCAGTAACAGTGACAATGCGGTAATCTTGATGACGTTGGAAGAACGCGTAGCTATTGTAATAACGCTAATGGTATATAGGAACGATAGCAGCGATGATGTGAAGGAATACCGCGTTAACGTTGGTAGTAGCAATGATAATGAGAAGAGAAGTAGCAGTGATAATAACGCCATTGATTAATAATGGTTAATAATGGTACTAGTAATAATTAGAGGTAAAATAAGAGAAGCAGTAGCAAGGATAGAGCAAGAGCAGCGGCGCCAGCGAATAGCGGTGACCCGTTAGTGGTGTGCTGGTGATAACGAGATAGCGAACGAAATAATGGAACGTGAAAGAAAGTAAGAAAAGGAAACAAGAGTGAAAGAAAGAGAGTAACAATGATAACGATCGCGGTTGAAGAGAAAATAGAGCAAGTAGTAAAAAAGTTTCACTATCGATATAACGGAAATGTGCTTGTCTAAAATTGCTTTAAACCTTACTTTGGACGCAATTAGTTTTCTTCCTTCTTTTAGTTTCGTAATTATTTAGTAAAGTGTTCCTTTTTTTCCGTTTTCTTTTTTCGCTTCTATAATTAGGCAAACGGCGAAACGGCGAAATATTTTATTCCCTTCTCACCTCTCTCATAGACACATCCATACACGCGTATTCGTCGTTTTCTTTCGTTAGACTATGCTTATCGTAGCGTGCATTTTTTCCTACGTTTCTTGGGAAAAATATCCTTTTCCATTTTCATTGAATCGTCGATTTGATTTTCGAAAGCGAGCAACGCAACTGAAATAATATGGAATAAACCTGACAGGGAACCTCTACATCGATTCGTCGTCGTATCGTTAAATCGATTGATTATTTCTTTTTTCTTCGTAGTCTCTCTACGCTATCTATCAGTATACTTCTTCTCAGTCGCTATCTTCTTTATGCTCTTCCCAATCTTCTGTTGATTTTTCTCGAATACCAGTTTATAACCTTGTTCATTTCTTATTAATATATTGTGCATAATATGTTAGTCGAATGTCTAATGGTTCGACACGATTAATTTTATCTCCTTTCTCTTTCACGCTCTCATCTTTTACTTTCCTTTCCTTTACTGTTCTCCTTTTCTCTACCTTCTCTCCCTCTCTTCCTTCTCCCATTCTCTCAATTTCTATCGACCACCTTTCATTCTCAACCACTTTCCATTCCACTTTGTCTCGCCGTTGTTCTTCGTCACTTGCTGTTTCGTAATTTCTAATCGTTCGTTCGTTTGTTCGTTCGTTCGTTCGTTCGTTCGTTCGTTCGTTCGTTCGTTCGTTCGTTCGCTCGTTTAAATGCTAAAGCTTTATCGTTAAATTAGTACATAGAGTTTTAGTAATGATGCAAAGATACATTTTTTAATAAGGCCCAGTAAGGCTACGTGGGTTATCCCACGAATAATTCAATATACGTATATCTTTCGTGTTAAAAATTACCGCGTGTTCGATAATTAATTTTTAGCTCTCCTATCGTTCGAACATCGTGACGTGTTCCGTTTTGTTTTTAATACACGCCGTATACTCGAAAAGCGACACTGGTACAATGTCTCGTTGGACGTTTTAGGTATGTTACGCATGTAATGAAAAATCTAAAGGAAGAGACACGTGGACCAACGTGTGTTAGTTTGTCTGAAAATGGAAAAAAAGACAAAGAAGAAAGAGGAGAAGAGAAAAGAAGAAAGAGAAAAGGAAGAAAAAGGAGACAAAGGGGAAGGAGAAGAAGAAGAAGTGAAGTGAAGAGGAAAGAAAAAGAGGAAAAAGGAACGAGAGAAAGAAAATAGGAAGGAAAAGCGTTGTTCCATCGTACGAGGCCGTTTCCTCGAGAGACCATCCAATAATTATTGTCATTTTGTGTCGTTCATTACTCGTAATTTACACCATTTTCACTTTCCGTATCCTTCCGCATCTTCTCGAGAAACGCGTATCGATTGCGTGTTTTCGATTAAGCTATTTCGATTATTATACCTCGAAAGAGTCTCGCGTACATAATTTTCATGTACGTAATAATTGGCAATGCGATTATTATACGTAAAGTTTATTCGAACGTGTCATCGTTACCTCGATTTTCCTTTCATACCCTTTATCGAACGATTATCCGAGAAATGCGATCATTTGTAATTCTTCTTGCTGATAGGAACACAGATAGTGCGCATATAAAAAACGCGAAGAAAATCCTTTAGGAGAGATTTCTGGTGAACCGAGAATATCTTTACGTGTACACGTTATATAATTACTGCCTAGAGACATGTGCGTTACAAATGTACAGTATATGCGCGCGAAACTCGCACGCGAGATTCCTAAATACCCTTTCTTAAATTGGCAGGTTGAATTTATAAAGTTGGAACTTTATAAAGTTATTTGATAACTTTAAATTATAAAGTTATTTTATAACCCGCGTGTGACGTTTTCAACGATCCTTTTTATCGGTTGTTATATGGAAATATGGTTGACTAAGTAAGTTAATAAATAAGAATTATGATCTTTCTGTTATAGTCTGTTTGAACTCTTAAAGAACATTCACCCCAGCCCACCCGACCCTGCCCAAATTCCCACCCTTCTATCCCTAGTACATTAAATATATCGTCCCTCTTGTGTACGTATCTATATTTTATTTATATGCATACATATGCATATACATATGCACGCGCGTACGCGCACACACACACGTATATATATGTATGTATGTATGTATGTATGTATGTATGTATGTATGTATGTATGTATGCATGTATGTATGCATGTATGTATGTATGTATGCATGTATGCATGCATGCATGCATGCATGTATGTATGTATGTATGTATGTATGTATGTATGCGCGCGCGTGTGTGCGTGCGCGTGCGTGCGTGCGTGCGTGTGTGTGCGTGTTGGCGCACGCGCGCGCGTGCGTGTATGTATCTATGTATACTCGTTTCTTTTTATACACGCGCGCGCGCACACACACACACGCACACACACACACACATACATGCATACATATACATCTACATATGTATATATATGCATGCCGATGTAGATACATATACATATAAATCTATCGTGTACGCATGCATTTATAATAATAATAATAATATTCTTTCGGTTTAAGTCCTTTTGTCGATACTTTCAAACGTTTCGCATAAAAAACAAGGCAATCAGATTGAGTTTTATCATTTACACTTAAACTTTACGATCGTATTTAAATATTTATACTCGGCCGAATCACCTCGTGTGCCTGTGTGTATATATAATATTACATGTGTTATACATAAACCGTAAATATGGAATCACTTTGTTACTTTCATTAGTTTCTTCCTTTCTCCTTTTTCTTTGTCGCGTACAACTACGTACGAAAAGACTAAGCTCTTGGTAAGAAGTTTGGTTAAATTGTCTCGTGCAGCCTTTGCACCCTCCTCGCCTCACCCCCCCCCCCGCTTTCTCTTTCCCCCGCCTCCACCCAGTTTCCCTATTTTTTTTCCCCTCTCGTCCTTTCTTACACACATACGCGACATACGTACACACCTTTCCTCTCGTTCTCCCGCTCCAATCTCGTTTTCCCTCGTGATCTGTACCTTCAGCACCACGAGTCAACTTTTAATAACGACGCAAAGAAACGAAACGAATGTGATCTCGATAATGGTGGTTTACGATGAAACCGACCAATCTTTTTCTCATTTCGTTCATCTGTCTTTCTTATATCATTTTACTCTTTTCCTAGCACTTTCATCCCTTCTCACACGCACTTTTCCCATGCAATCTTTTTTCTTTCACCTCTGCCTTCTCTCTCTCTCTCTCTCTCTCTCTCTCGCGCGCGCGCGCGCTCTCTTTATGTTGGTTCGTGTCTGCCTTGGAACAGTATTTTCGGATAAAGTCGCGAGTAATTGGATTAGCTATCGGATTAGCTAGAAATCTTGCTAGAAATTATTTAGCATCGACAGCTGGATGGCGTTTCTCCTTTGCTCGACGTTGCCGATTACCTTACTCGAGATCGTTGGAGATCGCGATTGCGAACATGGTTGTTTCGCTCGATCTGGTTATATAAAAAAGAAGCGACGAGCGATTGGCGTCGCGACCGATCGAATCGATCGACGATCGGTATTCTAACTACGTATAATATATCGAGGGTCTTCCGTTGCTCCTCGTGTCGTTGGACGATTGATGGAACGAGAGCAAGGTCGAAACGCGTCGAGCTGCTTTGTTGGAGTACGAGCAAACGGTTTTGGCGGATACGTTGCGTGCTCACAAAGATATAACAGTGTAAAATCGCGTAACCGTGGTAACCGTATGGTACTGGAAACAACGCGATGCTACGATAAACGGCTCCGTCGCGATAAACGGCTTTTAACGTATTCGTTAAAAAACATAGGTTGACGCGCGACATCGAGAGAACGACGCCGAATTAAGTTTGGAGGTAGGCGCGTACGTATCTGCCTGGTTTAAACATCGCGACAGGCCATTTTTAGTATCCAGACATTGCTGGTATCGATATCGCTATCGGATTCGGAGTTGAACCGAATCCGTGTACAGGATATACTTAGAGAACGAATTCGAGGTGTATAGAAGGAACATAGGGGGAGCGTATGGGGAGCGTATGGAGAGCGTATGGGGAGCGTATGGGGAGCGTATGGGGAGCGTATAGGGAGAATAGGAGGAGCGTAGAGGGAGCAGAAGAGCAACGGCTTAGGGGCAGCCGCATTCGTCGACTACCATCTTCGGTAGATCTCTCTTGATGATGTTGGAGTCAGGACCGTAGTAGATCAACGACATAGGCGAGAACTTGAGAGGGGCGCAGCAGGGTTGCATGCCAGCCAGTCGATCCATCTTTCGGTACTCCTCGATCACGTGGGTGTAGTAATTGAGGAAAGTGTCCGGTGTTCTGTGCCCTGCCGCGCAATCTCCTCTGCAGTAATTCGCGTAGTACCTATACATCGAATAACGTGTCGGTGTTACTTGATTCTGTTGGAATAGCGTTCGAATAGCAAACAGGCAACGAGATTAAAGAGGCAAGAAAGATTTAAACCGTTGATTCGTAGAACGAGTCTCTTCCGTTACGCCCGATGCAGAGAGTAGAAAAACTCGCGTGCGTGTTTCTAGACGGTACACGGTTCGTTAAGCTTTAGACAATTCTTGCAATAATTGCTCGTAAGTTAAGGGTTTAGGGCCGTTGCACTTGTAAGCGACACTCTGATTTCACGGGATACCCTACGAGTGACTCTCTACAGCGCTCTCTCTCTCTCTCTCTCTCTCTCTCTCTCTCTCTCTCTCTCTCTCTCTCTCTACCGATCGCTATGCCATTCCGCAAAAGCCTTCGTCGCGTGTCATCGTCTAAGGTACCTTTTTCTAGCTACTATCGCTGGTATACGACGGTGTACGACGGTGTACGACGGTGTACGAGGGTATACGAGAGTATACGAGGGTATACGAGGGTATACGAGGGTATACGACGAATGTACGTAAGTACGTGCGTACGGGCCGACGCGATAACGATCGAATCGATCGACGAAACGATCGCGCGTACCGTATTCGGGTAGCGTAACTCTTTACGTACGTATATCAGCTGTGTGCCATCACGCGTCCGACCTGTAATATTTTTCTTTCGTTTCTTCCCTCTATCCTTTTCGCCGTTTTCGTCAGTCTCGCGGAAGCACGTCGAAACGGAATCGCGTTCGCGAGGCAAATTCTACACGTCCGTTATCGATCGTTGTCGCATGTCAACTCGGGATTCAATTCCGCTGTTATTCTTACCCTTGGGGTGCGATTATCCAGTCGTCCCAACCGAGCTGCGAAAAGTTTACGTAGAACCTTTGCTTGCAGCATTGACCCTTAATAGCGCCGCTGCATTCGATCGCTCGTCTTCTAACCCGTTTCACAGCCGCCGGATCCGTGCGAACGACTAGGAAAGGTCTGTCCGGATCTTGAGTACCTGGGGAGAAGAAGAGTAAGAAGAAGAATCGAGATTGGACAATTGCCGCGCGAAATCTATATAGCGGGGTGGGAGTGGGGAGATGTACCTTTTGCGTTTAAAGATGACTCGATTACGTGCGGGGAATGTCCGTCAAAGGTCGATACGTAGACGTGTGAGCCACATCCGGTACAATCGACGAGCAACGTCAATTTATCCTTCGCGGCATCCCGGTTTGTAGTATACCAGCTATTCACGACCTTGGTGACGTCGAACTTAAGCCAACCGAGTTGTCCGATGTTCACTCCGAGGGACGTGACCATTTCCAGGTGTTGGCCAAGCTCCTGCGGAAACCGCGTGCATACCCGTTTATTCGTTTGTCAACAACGCGGTGAATAGTCGGGAATATTCCTTTTCTTTTTTCTCTTCCTCCCTTTCGTTTTTTTATCTTCCTCTTTAGCTGGTATTAGCTCGAAGCTTCCCGATCGGTTGAAACCCGACAACCGTAGCCGGTAATATCGGACAAATGATCGGTAAGAGGACTTAAGATAGCGGTACGTTTTAATGCGATTAAATTTATATAAGTCGGACGAAAGTGGTAAAATCTTTTTTCGATTTCACGCTATGCGCGTTATTCGTGCACGATCTTACGAGAGAAGAAGATTGGAGGGGAAAGAAAAAAAATGAAAAAATGGAGGAAAAAAGCAAAGACACGTGGAATAATCGAGCGGTCGGAATTACCTTTCCACGCAAGTGCGTCGTGTTGCCGCAACGTACTCTGAATACCCAGAGAGTAAAATTTCTTTGGTTGGTTTGACTCTGACGATGATGTTGGTAGCGATGGGCGTGCCTGAATTCGACTCTGGTCCAAAGCGTGGCCCTTTTGATTCTCAGGGGTTCCAAGGCTGGTTCGCCGCTGGACATTGGAAACTCCAATAACGGTTGTCCATTTAGCGTGCGTCCTACGAATAAGAATAAAAAATAAAGGGACATCGTACCGATTCGGATTGGCTATTCTCCTACGTTTCCAATCTTTATCGTCTCTCCTTTTTTCTTTTCTCTCCTTTGTAACCTTATATTCTCAGTCGCGATGGTAAAAGAAAAAGAAAGTTTCTTTTCCTTCCGGTTTACCTTTGTCGTTGGATCGCGACTCGTCTTATCACGAGGCGTTGTAAAAACTATTTAACGGAAAGAAACGAAGAAGACAAAGGGGGTAATACGCGCGTATGGAGAAAGAGAGTAAGAGAGCGTGTAACGTACTCGGTGGCTCGAGACTCGTGTGCCGAGGACAATGTGTTGGCGGAGACACAGGGATTCGCGTACACGAGAAAGCACGATGAAATACAAGGGGTCGGGAGAAGGTTGTTCGTGTATAAACGTAACAAGAGATACATCGAAGCTATCGTGCCCGCGTAGACGAGAGCAGGTTAACGCACACGGATTTATAAATATCCGTGTCGGTGTGTGCGCGCATACTGCGAAAGCAGCGTGGCTTCATCCCTTAACGGTTTGGTGAGTCACGGACCGTGAGCCATTGGAGGGACGAGGATAAGCACGGGGTGTCTGCCACCCGTCTGCCTTCCGCCTTCCATTCCCCGCAGTCCGCGCTTCTTCTCTCTTTCGCCATTCCACCCCTTTCATTTCGTTCCTTACCCTTCTCCTCCCGCACGCTCTCGGGCTATTTCCTTTTCTTTCCTACCTACCATTGCGTAGCCAGCCTGTGTAGATACCACCGACACCGACACCGACATCGACATCGACATCGACATCGGCACCGGCACCGGCACCGGCACCGGCACCGGCACCGACACCGGCACCGACACCGACACCGACACCGACACCGACACCGACACCGACACCGACACCGACACCGATACCGATACCGATACCATCACCGACGACAACGGCACCAGACCAACACGCGTTCAAGCTATCGGAGACTCCCCTACTAGAGCCAACGACGTCCACACCCCCAGCGCTACTCCTCCCTCCGACGTCTATGGTCTAAAGCGTCGTGACGCCAACCGCGGAGATATTCAACCTACCGATCTCTTGCCTCAACTCGTTTAACCTTTTAAGTATGGACCAACCGATATAGTGTAAGCATTCACGCACGGACATACGCGCCAATGCCTGCTCGCACCACGAATTTCTTTTCTTTTATACGTCCATCGACTCTTTTCTCGCTCCAATGTAGTCCCATCCGGTCCAGTCGAATTGTATCTTTTTCGTTCCTACCTGATACGTATCGTATTTGCTTGTTAAAACGAATCGCAAATCTTTACTAATCGTAAATTATCGGTAAAATATCGCTGCGAGATATTTCGTCCGACCGATCATCTCCTTTCATGGCCGGATTTTACGAAAGAGAACACCCCTAGTAAAAAGTATACGTACTATAACGGTACTATATTATATAACGGTATGTACATTTTCGTTTGATCTATGTTTCGTATTTCTACGCGTTTTTAACCGATTCGAGGGAACATTTACAACGGTAAAGATTCTTAAAACAACTCTTTATTACGTATATATAACTATGAGATAGGCGCGCGCGCGCGCGGATCGTAGGATTAAAAAGCATTTCTACGGCTTTTCGAAGACAAAAAGATATACTTTTGTCGAAGATTTCTATTATACTCACGGTTGATTCGTACGTCGAAAAGAGAAGAAAAAAAATATTCTCGTTGCTGGCAACAGGAGTACAAGGAGAAGAAGCAATCTGGATTTTTACAGAGGAAATATCTATTTTGATATCTAGGATTGCGAGTAGAAGAGGATGAAATAGCTGCTAGATATTTCGTATGTGCATACTTGTATATTATCCGAATATCCTATACGGTATCTTGGCCCCCTTTGCGCCTCGTCTTCGCCCCCTTATTTATTCGTCGTTTCCCTCTTTCGTTAAGTGGATGACACGATCCGCGAGAGAGGGAAAAGTAATTTTCCTTTCTTCTCTTTCGATACGAGGGGAGTGTTTCTGGGGTTCGCGTGATCGTAAAACGCAAAATTAATACGCTATATTAAATCGATATTCGAATAGAGCAAATTCGCCTCGCTTTCTTCTTTTCCTCCTTTTCCTTTGCCAAACCGTTCTCTATCGAAACGTTTTCTATCGAATCGCGCGTACAAGATGTAATTATACGTACGGGGAGCATGGTTGTCGAGGGAGCGAAAGGATTCGGTATAGCGAGCGGCAAGCGCGCGACACAACCGACTCGAATCGAGAGGGGCGTTGTACGACTTTGGTCCGGCCTCGCTCGAGTTTCGAGTGCATCGTGTGTCGCACTTTTCGAGGTCGGTGCATCGGGTACTTTTGCCGCTGCGCCGCAATGCGACACCAGTGAATCTACATTCCCATTTTCTCGCTTTGATAGTTCGCATCTTTGCCACGGTTAACCCTGCGTATGAACGTGGCACGCTCGTTGGTGCAACTTCGGGCTAATATTTCCGTGGTAATCGATACTTTCGAGATGTCTGGATACCTCGACGGCCTAAACGTACGTCGCGAACTGTTTACGAAACGTCCGAGATGGTGTGCACGTACATTTCCATCTATCGACGTTCTTTCCACGATCTATCGGTTTCGAATCGACGAAACGCGCGAAACGCTGCAACATTTGGAATATCGATCGGAGCGTAAGAAACAAAGTTGGCATGATTGGCGAGGATTCCGCGAACTGGAGAAAGGAACGACCGGGTGCGATTGGGATTCGTAAATCTGCTTCGGATAACTTGGAGATTCGAGCACGATCGGAGATAACGAAAGTACGAAGGGATCGGAGAACGGAAGAAAGAAACGTTGGAGTAAATTCTCGACGATGAGAATGTTTGTCGCGTTGTAAAGTAGCAGAGAACGGTGGAGCGATCGCGTGTCGTTGGGTCGCCGCGACGAGGTGACAAGATTTAAGGCTGATATTTGCTCTCTCCTATCGTATTCGTATCGTATTTGTATCGTATTCGTATCGTATTTGTATCGTATTCGTATCGTATTCGTATGGTATTCGTATGGTATTCGTATGGTATTCGTATCGTTGCGATACCTACGATGGAAAATTAAACGCGTCTCCTCTGAAAGAAAAGATCTATCGCGTAGGTATGTCGAAACCGAGAACATCTTGTAAGATAAGATGACGAAATAATATCTTTCGGTTGCACGGTTTCCTCTCCAATTCGCGTCCCCCTTTCCTTGCTACTGTGCGACTGCTCGTAAACGAGGTTAGCGCGATCACGGCAGAATGTGCCCGTAAATTTGGTACGGGAGCATGTCAGCAAAGAAAAGAGGGGTCTCTTAGTCGCCAAGTCGTCCATTTAAGATGTCGCGCGGCATAGTAACGCAGAGGAAAATCGCTACGAATGAACACGAGATAAAGAGGACGAAAGGAAAGACGGAAGGAACATCGGAGCGAGAAGAAGCCAAGTTTGGGGAAGAGGTGGGATGAAAAGATGAAAAGGAAGAGAACGAAGAAGGGACGAGTGTAGGATCTTTAAAGCGATCGATTCGTCATAGCCGAGGGATCGTCGCTCTTTTTCCACTCGTACATGTCCCGCATATATCGCGTATATATCGCGTATATATCGCGTATATATCGCGTATATATCGCGTATATATCGCGTATATATCGCGTATATCGATCGGGTGTGTACCGATGGAACCAAGTAATCGAGAAGACATATCCGGGATCGAGCGGACATGAAGAGCGGGAGCAACGAGCAACATTCCGTCTTCGAGACGAAAGGGACGAGGATCGGAAAGAAATTTCTGTCGTATCGGCAGAATCTTATGCACGAGTTCGTAGTATCAAAATTATACGATCGAATCGTTTATGAAATCGCGAACCGAGAAAACGGAAATTCGTCCGATTTGTTGGATAAAATTTCTAGACGGTGGAGAAAGAAAGGACTCGTGGTTGCCAAAAAAAATGCTATCCGTGGTTGTTGTAGAAATAAGAAGAGGAGGAAGTAGAAGAAGAAGAAGAGGAAGAAGAAGAGGAAGAAGAAGAGGAAGAAGAAGGACAAGAGAAAGAAAATGGGGGAGAGAAAGAAGAAGATGAGAGTGAAGGGGATGCAGGAAGGTGCGGATATAACTATTGAAAGTTATTAAGCAAAGAGAGGGGTTAGAGGGTAGAGCGAGTCGGGGAGGGGGATGGGAAGGGTGGCGATACTATGAGAAACGATGCATCGCCGTGCACCGCGACTTTTCCGTTATCACCTTCTCTGTCGTCCACGGTCGAGAGTCCGACAGCATCGACCTCGGTGCGAATCTAATTACGGAACGACACGATACCGATGCGTTGCTCGATAATATCGCGTCCACAACCTCGCGGTATATCGCGTATCTTATATAGGACCGAGGCGATTGACCGTAATACGGTCAGTCAAATAAGAGGGTCAGATATAGCTGGTTGGTAACCCTGATCCAGATCTATCGCCGCCACGTGGTCGCTCGCTCGCACTACGCGTTATACTATCGCGTAACTCACGACTCGCGATTTACAATCACGTGCTCGCAGGTGACAACAAACGCTACCGATTTACCTTCCTCTTTCCGTCTTTTCGCATCCTTCTTTCCCTTAACCTTTTATCCATCCCAACCGATCGATCGTTCTCCGATGCGATCCTTCCAATTCGATAGATGTTTATATTAAACAGTTTCGTTGAAACTTTGACAGACTGGTAAGCGAGTAGACCGGTGGTTTCGTTGATCCGTTCGAACGAACGAACGAGGGGTTAATTCGCGTAAAATGAAAACGCATAAAGAGAGGATCGACTAGCCCGTTTGTACGATAATGGCACAGACGGTTATGTTCCCAGAAAATGTGTGTCTATATCGCGTTTGTCGCGTGTCTGACTACCATCTGCATCGCCAGGTAACGTTGTCACCGTGGTATTATCGTAGCCGTTGCGAATTCGCGTCATAAGCTAAGCTATCTGATAATTCAAGGTACAACGACTACGCGTG